TTGCTCCAAGGGGAGGAATACACCCAAGATTACTTGGTTTGAGCTTAAGTGGGTCGGGGAGCGCAGGCTGTCGGCTGTGCGCTGCCTCACGGCGTCGCAGGGAGCCAGGCCAGTGCGGCGAGCGGCCGGGTCGAAGGCATGGTGTGACCTGTGGGATGCATGAGTTTAACGTTCAAGAATAAAATTAATTCACCAAGACAGGATAACACCTTACGGCAAAGCTACCTCCAAAGAAGTAAAGAGGGAAACGTGAGCAATCAAACCATAAAGCTGACAGGGACAAATTTAGGAAGATGTAAGCAGAGACCAAAAGACAACTTCTTTAAAAACCATTGCAAAGTTAATGAATTTGACTACATCAAAATGACCACTTTGTAACAATCTAGGACACCACCGTTAAAGTAACTAGAAGGGGACAGACAGAATGTGGGACACGCCCTTGGACAGTCTACACTGGGCAAAGAGGAGCTGACCTGGACAGAGCCTTCATTTCTAGTCCAGCACTTGTCCCGGGCATGCGCAGGAGGCCACGTTGGGTTGGCTCTCGTGGATGAGCTAAGATAGGAGCTGACTTTGTTTACTCAGATATCTGTTTTCCCAACACCTCGGGGGGGGGGGAGCCGTGGTCCTTTGTTTGGGGGTTCTCCAGTTGGTTCCATGCTGTTTCAGTTGCTGTAGCCTCAATGAAGGGGTAGGCTTCCTCCATCTTTGGGGTTCCGGCTCGAGATTGCTTCAATGTCTATGTCATTTGTTGGGATGTTGGGGTTCCTTCTGCTGTGTCTGGCAGGAATGCACCGGGCTTTGGCCAGGATTTCTGGGAACCCGCAGAGCATTCTGGGTGAGATGGATGAATTAACAGCGCATGAGCGGGGGCTGTCCTGCCCCTTAGGTCTCCTTCATTTGTCATGGATAACTGATAACTTGTCATTTTCCGTGTGTAAGTTTTTCACCTTGCTGGTTAAGTTTCTCGGACACGGGAGTCCATTTCCTCCTTCCCCTTGTGGAGGGATGCTGAGTGTCCAGCCATGCTGACCGTCCTTCTCCGTTTGTGGGTCCCAGAAAGCTTGGGTGGAGTCACTGTGACGCAGTCATGTCATCCACAGGGTGACCTGAATTCCTTCCCTAGCGTGTTCTTTCTTGTCTAATTACTCTCCCTCGGACTCCTGGTACTGTGCCAATCCAGTGGCCGGAGTGGCCAGCCCGGACTGCTTCTTGGAGGAAGCGTCTTCTGCTTTCCCTCCTGATCTCGATTCCGGCAGTGGACTTTGGTATGCGGCCCTTGTCCTGGTGCGGCCACTCCTCGTGCCTGCTGGAGCTTTTGGCTGTATCTTTCTCTCTGGGAGTGTAGCTGTCACAGCGGTTGTGATGAGCTTTTTCTCATCACACTGACACACAGCGGTGGTTGTATGTCTGTTGAGCCATCCTTGCACTCCTGCGTGCGTGTCCCCCGAGTGTGCTGTGGAGTTCAGTGCGTGATGTTTCTGGGTTGGCATTCATCCTCCTGTGGCGTCTTTGTCTAGCTTTGGTATCAGGGCGAGACTGGCCTTAAGAAAATGAATTTAAAAGTGTTCAGTCTAGTATTTTCTAGAACAGGTTACAAAAGGTTAACGTCCTCCTGGGCTGCCGGCCTTCCAACAGTGGCCCGCGTCCTCCCGCGGCTTCTCCGCCATCAGCCTTGCTGCATCTCCTCCCCTGGTCACTCCGACCCTCGCACCTCCTCCTCAGGAACTGTGGGGTGTATGTGGGGTCCCCCTGTAATCCAAGGTGTTTCCCCCTCTGTGGGTCTTCAGCCAAGCCCTTTCCCTTTTTTCCTTGTGAAGCAATGCTCGCAGGCCCGGGGAATTGGTTTGCGGATGTCTTTGGGGCTGTTATTCTACCTGGCCAAGACCTGGAACAGAAGCTGTGACACCCAGTGGCAGAGAGGGTGTACCCACTCTGGAGTCAGGCCCCGGGAGCCGCTGGACGGGGCTCCGCAGCTGCACGTGGCCCGCCTCCCACGCACCGCTTCTTGTTGAGGTGCCTGAGTGGGACTCATGACGCCCTTCTCTGTGAGATGAGGCAGGGCGGGGAGAGTTCTCCTGGCTTGTCTGATCTTGCACTGCACTGGACGCTGAGGCCAGCGTCTCGGGATGGTGCAGGAGCTGTGGCGGAAGTTAAAATTTCCATCTGCTCGGCTGTGCGTCCAGGCAGCCAGCCCTGTCTGCCAAGATGCAGGAAGAGGGGCAGATGGCGCGTGAGGGAGAACACACGTGGCAAGGTGTTCTCTTTCCCACGGAGGATTCTCCTTGTCTTCCTCCTGACAAGAGCCATGCACGTGGAGCAAAAGGCACGCTGCACACAGCCGGGGTCAGGATGCGCACCGCAAGCCCCGGAGGCAGAGAGCTTGCCTAGGTAATAGGTGCTTTGCTTCTTAGGAGGATCCAAACCAGGCGGCTTCCTTTGTGCAAAGGGTTAGGATTCACGCCCGAGCTCTGCGCATTCGCGTGGTAACAGCTCCCTCTGCTGGACTTGGTGGGCTTTGCTGCTGGCGGTGACTAGGGGCCCTTGGGAGTGAGTACAGGAAGCACCTTGCGTCTAAATTGGTGCCTCTCCAGCCTTCCTGTGCCGGGAATCTTCCAGGCTATGAGCAGCGGCTCAGCCTTGCAGCACCCAAGAGAGGTGCGGCTGGGGAAGCCGGGTTCTCAGGCAGAGGCGGCCACTGCAGCCCACAGGGAGCCGCAGCCAGGGGTGGGGAGGTAGCAACATCCAACCATGAGGGGTCCTGGGGAGAGCGTCTCTTCCAGCAGCTGCAGCGGTTCAGGGGTGGGGAGCATGACAGCCCCGCTCGTATGCGGTTCTGGACACAGCGATCGCTTCACCCTTTCCCCTCTGCTCACCCCAAGGGCTCCCGTGACGATGGGCGTGTAACTGAGGAGCACAGCATGTTCTCTGGCTTTGTGATCCAGATCAAAACCCAGCACGCTCGGCAGCCCCTAGAGGCTCCTTCCTGGCACACGCTCGCACCAGTGGGCTCCCGGGGCTGGCCTCTGGCTAGCTCACCTCTGCTGGAGCCACGTCGCTGAGGTATGTGTGCCTCTGCCGTTTTGTGTCATGCGTGTCCTGTGCCACGGTTGTTTTCCATTGTGGGGACCAATGTCAGTGCACCACTCGTCCTCCGGATGTGCAGTGGGCTCTTCCGGTTTGGGCTGTGATAAACCCCCATTCTCTCTATGAGAAACTCAGTCCAGATTTCTAAACTCTGGGCGTCCTCTACCAACAGCCTGTGACAGGGACAGGTCACCCAGGGTGTGGCACAGCTGCCGGCAACCCAGGATGCTATGGCTGTGATCCACAGCTGGGCACCTGACAAGGCTGTGAGCCCGGAGCCCCGGGGGTGATGTGGCAGCTGAGGGTGCGAGACTGGTCCCCAGGCAGCAGCACGCCATGCCTTCTGTGGCTGACTGGCCACCCTCAGAGGGGCAGCCCTGGGCTTCGGCAGTTACAGTCACAATGGGGCCAAAACTAGGAACTGTGCAGCGGACCAGGCAGCCAGGGAGGGGAGGTCTGGGATAAGGCATGTGTGGGGTGACACTTGGTGTGATGCAGCTGCCCAGGTGAGGGACAGAGGGACATGTCGTGACAGAGAGCACTGCAATACCCAGGAGATTGAGGCGGGCGCAGTGGCTTCACAGGCTAGTCGCCTGCCTGCAAGCACCAGGATCCCGAGAGGGCAAGGTGTGCTCCTGGCTGCTCCCTGCTTGTGGCCTGGGAAAGCAGAAAAGGATGGCTCAAGGCCTTGGGACCCACATGGAGGACCTGGAGAAAGCTCCTGGCTCCTGGCTTCAGACTGACTCAGCCCTGGCCTTGGTGGCATCTGAGGAGTGATCCAGCAGATGAAAGATGCGGTGCTAGGACGAGTTCCAAATGCTGCGTAACCAGTCAGCCCAAAACGTTGAGCAAAGAGCTCTACTGCCACTGCGCAGGCCCACTCAGACCCAAGGGGAGGGATGCAGGCTGCGCCTTACCCTGCACGCGGCTTCAACATGGGAAGTGGCACAGCACCAAGGCAGCAGCTTAGACAGCCTTCTGCTCACCCCTTGGGCAGCTCACCTGCTCAGAGCCTCCATTCTCCCACCTGTGAAATGGACAGAATAATGTACAGCCTGCATGCGATAACAGGGCAGGGAATACTGCTGTGTGGTGCTAAAGCTTTCGGTCTTTGAGCAGGTGTCCAAGTTAGATGAAAAATGGAGAACACTCCTCAGGAAGTGACTCAGAGAGCCCCGGGGGCACTGCAGGAACCAGGCTCAGGAGTCCCTAAAGGCCATAATAAACCCCGCAGTCGCTGCCCAGTTTCCAGGTCCTTGGTGGCCGGCCTCCTCCTCCAGGCTGTAAACTGCCCGAGGATTCGGGAACTTCATGGAAAATACCTATTATGATCATAGGATCCATGAAGTCCAAAGTTGTTTATACCCAAATTTATCCTTTAATTCCATTTTCCCATTAGGTTTTGGACGTGCCCTCCAACCAGTGGTTAGGACACACTCTACTGAGTGAATGCAAGCCAAGGCAACAGGGACAGGCTGGAAAGGATGAGCCCACGGCTGTCTGCTCAGGCAGTAAGCAGGCGACCAGGGCTCCCGGGACCGCGTGCCAGACCCGATCCCAGGAGACCTGATCCCTGGGCAGGCTCAGACAAGAGGAGGAAGCTCGGAGCCCAATGAACCGGGGTGACAGCTGATGCACCTGCAGAGGGGAGCCCCGCGGATGCGGGCTTGGAGAGGCGCGTGTGCGGGCGGGGAAGACCAGAGGGAGTGGGAAGGTGACTTCAGACGGGGTCAGCTGTCAGGGAACCCGGCGGCCACCGCCACCTGCCGCGACCTTCGGCCACGGCGGGCCTCTGGCCGCGCGCGGGCGCCGCCCCGTCGCTCCGCGCTCCCATTGGCCTCGGCGCTGCCCCGTGCGCCCGCCCAGCCTATGGTGCCCGCGCGCCGGAAGCCGGAAGCGGACGGCGGCGGCGCTGGCGACTTAGCCCCGGGCAGCTGTCGCCGTTCGCCATGCGAGGCCTGGGCCCCGGCTTGACGGCGCGGCGGCTCCTCCCGCTGCGGCTCCCCCAGCGGCCGCCGCGGCCGCACGGGCGCCAGTTGTCCAGCGGGCCGGGGGCGGCCGGCGCTCTCGAGCGGGCCATGGACGAAGTGCTGCGCCGCGCCGTGCCGCCGATGCCGGCCTACGAGCTGCGCGAGAAGACGCCGGCGCCCGCCGAGGGCCAGTGCGCCGACTTCGTGAGCTTCTACGGCGGCCTGGCCGAGGTGGCGCAGCGCGCCGAGCTGCTGGGCCGCCTGGCGCAGGGCTTCGGCGTGGACCACGGCCAGGTGGCCGAGCAGAGCGCCGGCGTGCTGCAGCTGCGCCAGCAGCCCCGGGAGGCGGCCGTGCTGCTGCAGGCCGAGGACCGGCTCCGCTACGCGTTGGTGCCCCGCTACCGCGGCCTCTTCCACCACATCAGCAAGCTGGACGGCGGCGTGCGCTTCCTGGTGCAGCTGCGCGCCGACCTGCTGGAGGCGCAGGCCCTCAAGCTGGTGGAGGGGCCGCACGTCCGGGTAAGGCCCCGCCCGGGCCGCCCCGACATCCCCCACTCAGGGCGTCCCGCCCGGAGCTGCGGAGGGGCCCCCACACTCTGCCCCGGTCCAGGCGCGCCTTGCAGCCCTTACGTAGGTGCTGCCTCCTAAGTGCTCCCCGCCTTTAAGGGGACTGTCCGGCCGCGTCCCTGGTGGCTTTTCGGGGCAGTGGAAATGTTTGTTGTGGAACTGAGCGAACGCCTGGACCAAGTTCGCAGAACTTGACTGGGCGCCCCCGAGGGTCAGATGCTGTAGTAGGGCCTGGGAAGCGCACCCCCACGGGTGGATCTCAAGGTCGCCAGCGCGTCCAGGAGTGGCCAGTGTCCACCTGCTTCTGTGGCACACCTTGGGCCGGGCCCTGACCTCGCCTAGTGCAGCCCTGAAGTGTGGCAATGCCGGCACTCAACATAACGTGGCAGTGCCCGTTAGCCCTCTTGTGCTGCTGGTGTTGAGGGATGGACAAGGACCCGCCGCAGTGTGCAGGAAGATCTGGCGTCTGTGGGGGTTAGCATTTTCAGAAATCTGAGCAGCCAAGTGATTATCTTGACTTCCCACTGGGGTCACATACCCCTTCGTTCTCAGCCACCACTGGGTGACAGGCTGTGTGGTCACCCACCCAAGCCCGGGTTTCTGTCCCCTTCGTGCGGTGTGAGTTCAGCCTGTATCACGAGGTTTCATCTTGGTCCTGGAATACATCAAACTCGGGCAGAGTTCAAGACAGAAGCAGTCAGGGACCTGGGCATTGCGCTGGCTTGTTTGTCAGTGACCCCGTGTGTCACCCACACCCCTTTCTCAGTGCAATTCCTGCGCAGAGCCCTCACAGTGGTTAGCCATACGCAGCATGGTCAGGCCTGCGTCTCAGTGTGTTAAGCTGAGCACGCAGTCAGTGTGGATCGGGGTGGAATGGCTGTGCTTGGCAGGTGTGGGTCGGCATGGAATGGCTGTGCTTGGCAGGTGTGGGTCGGCGTGGAATGGCCCACCCTTTGGAGTTCCACTTGCCCCAGGTTCATGAGGGTTATCTCCCCAGCTAGCTGGTTTCCTTGAACAGCAGGAACTTCCCAGACAAAGTGATGGGCTCCCGAGTGTCCCTGCTTGAGACCAGCCCTGGCACACTCCTCGTTCCATCTCCACTTGCTGGCTAAGTCAGGCAGGAGGCCGAGCGGGTCATGCTGTCAGATGAGGGGCCGCTCTCCCAGGGCCCCCCAGTGCTGAGTTCCCACTCTGTGAGATGCTTGCTTGCCCTCGGTGGTCGCGTTGCTGCGAGTTCGTACCTCTCCGTTGCTGCCCACGGCTACGTGAAGAACGTCTGATCCTCCATCACTGAGGTCACCTGAGAGGGCTTGTTTCTCTGTCCAAGGAAATTGTCGCCTCGAATCCAGTATTGTGTCCTGTCACACAACTGCTTAGTGCCCGCAGTCCATTTTATTAAATAGTTATCTTTTAGAGCAGTGTTAAATTTGCAGCAAAACTGAGGAGAAGGTACAGATTAGCCTAAAAGCCCCCACCCTTGGCAGCAGCGGAACAGGGCCTTGGTCAAGCAGAGGAACCCACAGGAGTGAGTCGGCGCACGCGGCGTGCACAGCCCACATCAGCTCACTCGGTGCTGGACGTCGCCTGGCGCCCTGTGCGGTCCCCTGGCGCTCGGATTCTCGGACTTTGTTCAGGGTTTTGGCAGCCATGTTAACGAGGCAGTGGGACTCGAACTCTGTGCCTTAGCAAGTCTGTTAGCTCCAGGAGCTTGGCACCCGGAGTGTTAGCCTGGGATCCCCAGACCCCCAGGCTTCGCTTTGATGCAGTGTGCTCAGAGGAGTGGTCTCCACACGCTCCTGCCATGTACCCTGCACCGGTTACACAGGTGCACTGCTTACCCGGCCCCTGCTGGCTGGACTGGGCGCGCACTGTGAGAGGGGAGTGGCTGGGGGCTAGTCTGCCCGCTTGGACTAGGCTGATGGTCACGGGGAGTGTGCAGAGGGATCTGGAGCCTGGCTAAAGCCTTGGTGCATGGAGAGGCGCTGTGTGCTGAGCCCTGGGTCTGACGCCCGGTGTGGAGATGGCAGATGCGAGTGTCAGGTACAGTCCCTCTGGTGTCTGTGTGGCTGTGTGAAGGCTGCCCGTGGGGGTGGCCTCCGGCGTTAGGGTGTCCCCGGAGACACTGTTGAGGTACTGCCTCCCATAGCGATGGTCAACCCGGGCAGCAGGGCCTGGCTGGCCTGTGTTCCAGGAAGCAGCGACGTAATGGCCATTCAGACACGGGAATCGGGAAGTTAGCGGTGTGTGGGCTTCCTGGCAGCATGGGGACAGGGCTGAGAGAAGCTCTGTCGCCCACAGGGGATACCACCACCCATGCGAGACCGTTTGTGCAGCCCCTTGGTGGAGCAGGGGCTTGATAACTCTGATGCTCATTTTGCTGAACAAGAACCTAGGAAAGAATGCCCCCGACCCGTGCCCGGGCACCGCAGGGAGAGTGGGAGGCCTAGTCGCTGGTGTCCCCCTCCCCCCAGCTTCCAGCTCCCCTCACCCCGGCTTCCCGCTCCCCTCCCCAGCCGGGGCTTCTGAACCTGAAAACCCATACCCTGGAGGTGGGCAGGCCAGGCACCCAAGTCCATCTGAAGACAGGCTAACGTGGAACGTCTGGGGCGTTCTCTCTGATGTCGCCCAAGACAAGAACTAGCCATCAGGATAACGTGAGGGCTGGCGCAGACCTTGGCACGCCTGGCAGGGCCCGCATGGCCACGTTGCCGCAGGTGGACTGCACAGGAAGCAAACATTAATACGATAGTTTGTGCTGCTCGGTGGCCAGCGGCCTGGCTGCCCACGTGCTCTGAGCCAGCCCTGACAGCTGCGGGCAGTGTCAGCACCCAGCCGGTTGTCACCTTTCCCCTGGATTCCCACTTCTCCGCACCAGCATCACACTTTGTAGCCGTCAGCAGCCCAGAATAGAACCGGGCGGCTGGGGAGGCGAGCTGGCACAGGACAAACCTTTCTGAATCTGAGTGTTGCCAGCGTCTCGCTCTGGTCTCGGCCACTGGGTGCTAACCATCCTGAGGAGCCGCAGGACACGGCGGCAGCCCACCTCACTGCCCCCAGGAGCACACCTGCGTGCCAGCCCCCTCACCCACATCCTGTCCTCGGGACAGCTCTGATTCCTGGCACATTTTGCCCAGACTGAAACTGTGACACTGTCCTGTAATGTCCACAGCCATCAGGAAAGTGGCCTGCGCGGGAGTTCTCTCACGCGTTCTTTGTGAGTCAGCTCCGCTCTGTGCCAGGCCGACGGGGGCTCACCCCCTGAATGATGGCTGCCAGGAGCTGTGACAGAGGCCCCGAGTCACAGTGGCATGAGGGATGTTCGCCCCGTGGAAGGGCTGGAACATACTGCCTCTCCTGAGGCTCTCAGGCTGCGCCCTGGGAAACCACAATGGCAGGATGCCCCTGCTCACACACACCTCCATGGCCAGGCCTCGGTCAGGCAGCGACCCGAACCCGCAGTGGGGGCTGGCTTCTGGGCAGTGCTGGCCCCGGCTAGGAAACGAGGTGTCTGTTCATGTGGGAGAGGGGACGAGTCAGGTCGGCCACCCTCAGGGTGCCCTCTGCTCTGGTAGCGGGCAGTGTGTCGCTGCCTGTGGGGGCTGTGACTGGTTGAGGCTGCACCACCGTGAACTCCCACTCCGGCTGCAAGGTTTTGGATGAATGCTTCATTTGGTTTTTGTTATTGTAATTGGAAAGGCAAATATACAGAGAAAGATCTTCCATCCACTGGTTCACTCCCCAATTGGCTGCAATGGCCAGAGCTGAGCCAATCCAAAGCCAAGGGCCAAGAGCTTCTTCCAGGTCTCCCACATGGGTGCAGGGTCCCATGGCTTTGAGCCATCCTCAATTACTTTCCCAGGCCACAAGCAGGGAGCTGGATGGAAGTAGGGCAGCTGGGACACAAACCAGTGCCCATATGCCTTATGGGATCCCAGGATGTGCAAAGCTAGGATTTAGCCATCACACTAGGCCCACAAATGCATGATGGTAAAGTTGATTCAAGTGATTCCTGAAAGCAGATAAGATAGCCGGAGTGATTCCACACCTCTACCGTGCAGGATCGCCTGATACAGCAGTGTGTGTCCCACGGGCGAGGCATGCTGCCGACTGAGCTGCACTCGTTGGAAGGGTGCGTGCTGGCTTCAGAGACAGCCAGCTGTGAGCTGTGCATCTTCCAGTTGGCGAGGCAGGCACCTGGAGTAGGTGCTGGGCTTTCTAAGGGAACAGGACTGCTGCTTTGGCGCGTCGCAGAAGGTTCCCAAGAGATCGGGACCCGAGTGCTGTGCTGTCCCTGTCGCGTCTGTCACAGTTACGCGGGCTTGGTGTTGAGTGAGTTTCCCAGGGCGAGTGAGGTGGAACACATCTGATTCTGGCCACTAAGTTCAAGTGGAGTATGCCCATTGCCGGGTGCAGTGGACCGCAGTCGCTCAGCATACACAAGCAGACTGGCACTGCCACTGCTGTGTGCCCCACATCCCCTTGGCAGAAGCTGTTAGAGGATGGTCTTGCACGGCCTCTGGCCGAGCAGGGGACTGACGCTTTGTCTCCTCCGCAGGAAATGAACGGGGTGCTCAAAGGCATGCTCTCAGAGTGGTTTTCCTCGGGGTTCCTGAACCTGGAGCGGGTCACCTGGCACTCGTCGTGTGACGTGCTTCAGAGAATCAGCGAGTAAGTCAGTCCCGCTGGGACCCCGAGGGAGAGCCTGTGGGGAGCCGCTCTGTGCCTCCCACGTGACCCCGAGGGAGAGCCTGGGGGGAGCCGGGGTGTCGGAGGTCAGTGCTTCTTGAGCCCCCCAGCTACTCTTGACAGTGGAGCTGACAATGAGATGTGGCTCCTCAGTCAGCGCCAGCCCACCTTAAAATGATTCTCTGAGTTTTCAGATGATCCCATTAGAACTGCATATATATTTTTTTTAAAGATCAATTTTTGTTGTGAAGTCGGATTATTCAGAGGCAAGGAGAGTTAAAGATCTTCCATCCACTTGTTCACTCCCCAAGTGGCCACAACGGCCAGAGCTGAGCCAGTCCAAAGCCAGGAGCTTCCTCCAGGTCTCCCACGTGGGTGCAGGGTCCCCAGGCTTTGGGCCGTCCTTGACTGCTTTCCCAGGCCACATGCACATGCAGGATGGGAAGTGGAGCAGCTGGGATGTGAACTGGTGCCCATGTGGGATGCCAGCACTTACAGGCTGAGGACTAGCCAGGTGAGCCGTTGCATGACCTGTAGCACCGTGGTTGGGGGCTGTCTGCAGTGAGTAGATGAGTGGGGGGCCGCAGCAGTGACTCCCCTACCCCTGGCTCTGCCGTCAGATCTGAGGCTGTGCACCCCGTGAGGAACTGGATGGACATGAAGCGGCGCGTGGGGCCCTACAGGAGGTGTTACTACTTCTCTCACTGCTCCACGCCTGGGGAGCCGCTGGTCGTCCTGCACGTGGCGCTGACCAGTGACATCTCCAGCAACATCCAGGTGACTGCGCGACAGACGGCCCAGAGGCACAGCTGCTTTTCTCTTTTATTTGGCTTTATCCTGTAAAAACAAATAAGTCTCTTTGACCTTGAGGACAGTTTAGCTGGCGAGCCAGACTCTCCGGATGTGCTGCCAGGCATGCAAACGGGCTGGGTGGACGGCTGGGGGCAGGGCGGCAGGACTGACAGCTGAGACTGGCCCTGGAAGGACACCTGGGGCCCTGGAGGGCTGGGAGAAGGGTAGTTGTGCCCACGCAGGGGGTCTGCGGGAATCAGCCTGATTGCTCAGCTCCAGCAGGAGTTAGACGCGAATTTAGGAACCAGCAGGCAGATGCACTGGAGCAGTTGAGTAGGAGAGGGGCTCTCGGGGGGGACAGAGGTGGGGACGGGTAGGGGAGGAGTTGAGCCTGGAGACTTGGGGTAGGTGTACAGGGACCCAGAATAAGAGAGGGGCTCTCGGGGGACATGGGACGGGTGTGGGAGCAGCTGAGCTTGGGGACTCAGAGGCGCTGTGACCTGCCAGGGAGCTGAGCAGGTGAGCCTGCGTCCCATACCGGCGCTGCGCAGCATTCCCTCGTGGGGGCACTGGGAGGCTGAGGGCCTAGGGGCCGCGTTCCTGCTCCCAGCTGCTGGGTTGGTGGAGTTGGCGCTCTTACCCAGGGTGGGACTAAAGTCACTGTGACCTGTCTGGGGCAGCTGGGGGCTGCTTGGAGAGAGGAAGTGTGCCTTGCTGTGGGCTGAGTGATGCTCAGAGCTGTGTGCAGGTGGCTGTGGTGCAGGGCTTGGAGGCCCAGCCGTCTCCGTCCTCTCTCGGCCCCGTGTGTGTGGTTCAGCCTGCCGTGCTTGTGGCTGTGGCTGGAGAGCAGCGAGCCAGCTCTCAGCACCGCTGTTTTCCAGGCCATAGTGAAGGAACAGCCTCCGTCCGAGACCGAGGACAAGGACAGGATTGCCTGTGCCATCTTCTACTCCATCAGCCTGACGCAGCAGGGGCTCCAGGGCGTGGAGCTGGGAACGTTCCTCATAAAGCGGGTCGTCAAAGAGCTGCAGGTAAGCCTGGTCCCGCGGCCTCGAGCCAGCTCCGGCTGTGGCTCGGGAGCTGCTGCTGCTGCTGCTGCTGCTGAAGGCGGGCACCGCAGGAAGGGGAAGGAGCAGAGGGCCAGCCGGGCAGCCCCAAGCTGCAGCTTGGTCAGGCCTTCATTCGCTGTCCACTGGGACCCCCGCTGTGCCGCAGAGTCACAGGTGAAGTGACAGGATGGCTGGTCGTTGGCTCTGCTCTGGGCAGCTTCTGGCTTCCCTGCATGTGCCTGCCACGGAAGCTCTGTTAAATGTCGAAAACAGAAATGGGTACTTCAAAACTTTGCTGGAAAAAGAAACTAGAAGAGGGTTTTATTTTGGTGCAAAAAAAAAAAAAAAAATCCCCGTGTACAAAGGGTATTGAGAATAATCAGAGAAAATGTGTATTATGAGAAACTTGCACATGGATTTCAAAATCCAAAAGAAGTTAACTTTTTAATTCCATTTTCCAAGACCTTGTGGAGTGCCCTCCCGTACTCTGTCGCCAGCACTCCGGCTTTAAGTCCCTGCACGGAAACGCTGCCAGCTCAGGCCGCAGGGAAGGCAGTCGGGCGGCAGCTGGCCCGGGCACCGCAGCCCCTGGACTCACTGTGACAGAGCTGTGTCGTCCAGCCGGACACCAGGCCCTCCACTTCTGTGTTCTGTCAGCTGTTTCCCCCCACGAGGCTGTGCGGGTGCCAGGCAGACACATCCACTCTGCACGCACTCCCCTGCCACGCTGTCCCGCACGGGCCCAGCTGGGGAGGCAGTGTCCTCTTGCCTGGCCTTGGTAGTTCTATGCCAAGCGTCAGCGTAGGCCCTAGGGCCACAGAGGCGCCTGCAGGCAGAGTGGGTGTGGGAGATGGGCCGGGGTCAGGCTCGGTGGGTCAGGCCCCTCTACCATGGTTACTTGTGGTTTCAGTGGCACCGTCACTGTCTGGCACCACACGGAGTGGTCCCCAGGGAGGTGAGCGGCGCTCGCATGTCGCTGCCTCCCCTGCTGAGTGTGTGATTTCTCCGTCTCCCTCCAGAAAGAGTTTCCTCACCTGGGGGCCTTCTCGAGTCTGTCACCCATCCCTGGTTTCACCAAGTGGCTGCTGGGGCTCCTGAGCTCGCAGGCGAAGGAGCGAGGCCGGAACGAGCTGTTCTCGGACTCTGAGTGCAGGGAGCTCGCCGAGCTCACCGGGGACCCTGTGCACGAGACCCTCAGGGGTCTGCTCAGCAGCAGCGAGTGGGCCAAGTCGGAGAAGCTGGTCCGGGCGCTGCAGGCACCCCTGATGAGGCTGTGCGCCTGGTACCTGTACGGAGAGAAGCACCGCGGCTATGCCCTCAACCCCGTTGCCAACTTCCACCTGCAGAACGGGGCCGTGCTGTGGCGGATCAACTGGATGGCCGACAGCAGCCTCCGGGGCCTCACGGGCTCCTGCGGCCTCATGGTCAACTACCGCTACTTCCTGGAGGAGACGGCGCCCAACAGCACCGCCTACCTCAGCTGTAAGACCATCAAGGCCTCCGAGCAGGTCCTTAGCCTGGTGGCCCAGTTCCAGAAGAACAGCAAACTCTGAGCCCTGGCTTGGCCAGGGAGAGGCTCCTGTCCCGGACACTGTGGCACAGGTGGCCAAAGGAGTTTCTGGGTCACACCCTGAAGCCTGAAGCCTGTGCCAGGAAAGCCACACACCTGAGCTGAGACGGTGCCCAGGGCTGCAGCTCCTCCAGGGCCTCATGGGGCCTGCTTCCTGCCCAAGACCAGGGCCTGGCTCCTCCGTCTTCACGAAGTGCTGCAGCCTTAGCCGCTGTGGGCCCAGGGTGGCTCGCTCAGCCCCCAAGGACAGGGGTTTTCTGTTGTGCTTGTGGGACGTCCTTTGGTGCTGGCTGCATCAGCCGTTTCTCCCCATGCCCCACGAGGGGCCACAAGCAGGTTGGGCTGCATGTCACCAGTTCCCCAGAAAGAGCAGGACTGCACCAGTAGAGTAATTTATGTCATCCGTCATCAGGATGTTGCTGCTTGAGGCACTCGTGGGCTGCAGGCCTTAAACGGCCAGGGACTCGGGTTCCTAGTGGACATACGGCAAGGGGCAAGTGTGCCTGGGGTATTAAACGTGCTGCCTTGGTATTTCCTGGTGGCTGTCTTCAGGTAAGGCCAGTGCCACTCTGAACCGTAAGCTGTGCCACTGGCCCCCAGCTAGCCCACTAGGCTGCTCAGGACTCCTGAAGCGTGCAGTGAGAACGGGGAGGCTGTGATGGGGTGTGCATGTGGACAGTAAGAACGGGGAGGCTGGGGTGGGGTGTGCACGCGTGCAGTGAGAACAGGCTATGATGGGGTGTGCACGTGAGCAGTGAGAACAGGCTATGATGGGTGTACACGCGTGCAGTCTCTGTGATATCGCCACTCGTGCTGGGCAGACATGCCTGCCTTGCTCTCCCTCCTGCAGCAGTGGAGCGTGGTCCCTGGAGTTGGAGCTTGAGCCTCCTGCTCCTGCTGGTTGGTGCTGTGTCCAAGGCCCCAGAGCACTGGCACTGGTCTCGGGCTGACCCTCTGCAACCCCTCTCGGGGCAGGACTCCCCATGGCTGGTCCTGCAGACTCCCCTCCCCGGGCCTTCCTCCTCTTCCTTAGTTTCCGGCTAGGATCCCCAAGGCCCCCAGAGTCTCCTGGGTTGTGTGCTCTGCCTCTAGAATGCCATGGAAAAGTGACACTTCCGGAACTGGTCCGGACAGGGTCTCGGGGCCCACAGGCCCACCACGGCAGCTCCGCCACGCTATGGGGAGGGCACATGACTTCCATGGGCATTTGGAGGCTGGGTGGATGCTGTGACCTTGGAGGGCCTTGACACGCCACCTCAGGGTGTCTTCAGACTATGCCCAGAGCAGCTTTGAGACAATTCAGGCCCCTTTGGCCCCTGCCTCCTGGTCATTTGCCAACAAGGCAGTTTTTCAACCACCCTGAGTTGTTGATTGCTGAAATTCCTGTGGGAGCAGTGGGCCACTCCCCAGGAACGCCTTGGGGGAAACTGGACCTCAGCTGACCCGACCTGCCAAAATGCCTTGGGAAAACCACGTCCCCTACCCCGCTGTCCTGGAGCCCTCAGAAGCACAGGTGGCTGCTGGCTCCCTCCCGAGGAGCAGCCGGCTGCCTGGGTTTGCCTGTTTTATGTTGCACAGCATAAGCAGGAATCAAGAGTGGGCAGTGGCTGGGCGCAGGGGCCACGGGGGCTGCTGGCTGAATCCTGGTGCTGTGAAATTGTTCCCTGTGAGGGGACACAGTGGCCAGGGGCTACTGGGCCGGGCACTGGCCTGTGGCACAGACTGCCAGGACCCAGACTTAAGGCATGCTGGTGGGCTCAGGGAAGGGGCTACATGCTCCAACCTGCTTCTGAAGGACCTGCCTTGTCTGGGCCTGCGTTTCCTCATCGCTGAGGAAGAGGCACAGGAGATGACACGCACGTCCGTGCCGTTAATGAGGCCAGGATACGCGACTTGGCGAGGTCCTGCCACCCACGGCCCTGCGTGAAGGCCCTGGGATCTGTTGTCACCCTGCTGGCGTGTTAAAGTGCTGTAGGGGTTTCTGGCTGCAAGATGGCTTTGTGAACTCTGATTTCCCTGTCTCTGCACGCTGCACCCATGGGTGATTGTCAGAGCCTCATGGCCCTCGTCTGTCAGGGCCCAAGCCTGCTCCACACAGCCAGAGGCTCCCCTGTGGCCTCTGCCCTTGCCCTGTCGTGGGAGCCCCGCAGTCATCTGCAGGAGGAGCTGCCTCTGCCCCCTTGAGCCTGGTGCAGCTCTCAGGCAGGGAGACCACCTCTGGGCAGCTGTGCGTGAGCTTGCTCTTGTGCTGCCGGGCGAAAAGCATGAAGTGTATTGACAATGCAAAAGGAGTGAGTATCCCTGTTTTTGTTTTTGTTTTTGATTTATTTATTTTTACTTGAAAGGGAAATTTACAAAGAGGGAGAAAGATTTTCCCATCTGCAGGTTCACTCCCCAAATGGCCACAACAGCCAAAGCTGAGCTGACCTGAAGCCAGGAGCCGGGAGCTTCTTCCGGGTCTCCCATGCGGGAGCAGGGTCCCAAGGTTTTGGGCCGTGCTTGACTGCTTTCCCAGGCCACAGGCAGGGAGCTGGATGGGAAGTGGAGCTGCCAGGACATGAACTGGCACCCATACAGGATCTTGGTGGACACAAGGCAAGGATTTAGCCACTAGGCTACCAGGCTGGTAGGCACTGCATTTGGGTCTGTTGTTAGAAACAGGTGCCGTCCAGTGATTGCTGTTCTGCAGTTTAGCAGCATGAGTAGAAGTGACCAGCCTCTTGGTGACTGTGGGCTCTGCACAGGCCACACGGTCGCTTCCCTCCCTGGAGGGTCTCACCGTCCATGGCAGCCAGGTTTGCCGTTTGCAGCAGGGACCTAGCCGCTGGGAAGGCTGGCCCAGACAGAGCCCGCAGCCTGGACAGGAGCCCCACACGGGGGTTGGGGGCAGCCCAAGAAGCTCGTTCTGTGGAGCGCAGCAATGTCAGGAAAGCAGCCTGTGAGGCGAGGAGAGGGCAGGACAGTCACCCCCTCCGCAGCTCCAGGCCCCAGACCCAGGGAGGGAAATGGAGCCTGAGCTGGGTCCAACCAGAAGCAGAGGGCTCTCCAGTAGGGTCGCTTTATAGGAGGTCCCCAAGTGGCCAGGCGGTTGTCGGGGCAGGGCCTGGTCCACCCCGCGGGGCAGCAGCTCTGGGGCTGGGTGTGTGTGGCAGAGGTGGCCAGGCTCCTTGGTCATTTGCGGTAACAATGGGTGCTGTGCTAAGTAGATATTTAAAGTGCTTTGAGAAGATGCAGGCTCAGCTGCCGCCACCCCCACAGCACATTCTGAGCAGGTTGATCCCTGGATGCCCTGACCTTGACCAGAGCAGAGAGGAACCAGCTGCCCAAAGCGATTCCCAGGAAGTGGGTGACAGAACTGAGCTCTGCCAAGGCCTCCGTGGCCACTGGCCCGGCCGCCTCTGCTCTTCGCCAGCTCTTGCTGGGGTCTGGAAGGGGCTAGGAGCAGCCAGGTCCTGGACCAGGGCCAGGCCCAGACCCCACGGAGACTACCCCAGCACCGTCCCTGCAGGAGCTCATCTCCAGCCGAGACCTGACCTGCCACCTGGTGAGCATGTCCAGTGCCCAGCCTGAGGAGTGCTGGTCACGGGGTGGTGGTCACTGGAGCTGCCCCTCACTCAGAGGTGTCCCTGCACCCAGCACGCAGGCAGATGCTGCACAGCTCAGCAGCAGGCCAGGCCAGCCATCCCATGTATGCCAGAACAAGCCCCTAGTGCCTCCCTGCCCCCGGCTCCTGCAGGACAGAGCTCTGGCCACAGTGGTGCTGGCCCTGTGCACTGGAAGAGCCCTGGCCAGCCCCTGTCTGAGCCGCACCGCTCCCCACACTGCGGGAGTGGTCATCTTAAATTGCCAATCTGCCTTCCCCTCCCATTGAGTTGTCTTTTCTGCTCACGCCCTCCCAGACCGCCCACCCCCTCTGCTCCCTAGGTTTCTATAGGAACCTGGTGGACTGGGACAGATTCCCCGCCCCACCCCGTCTCCAGCACCGCCTCCCTAAGGGCTGTGCCTGCCTGACAGAACCTGCGGGACTCCAGGGTACCTGAGCCGGTGGCCATGACTACCGTGGGACTTAATGCCACAAAGGGAAGCTCCTTTCACACACAGGACAGTGCCCTTCCCAGCAGCTGATGGCCAAAGGGACCCATGTCCTCACAGGCTCTGGCACCCCGTGGCCACGAGGTGGTGCTGTGGCAGCGCCCGGCGGCCTCCTATGCACCATGCCCTCTGCTGCTGGGGTCAAGACGCACCTGCTGGCCCTGACAGCGCCCTCTCGCCCCATAGCGTTTCCTGGCCAGGGCCACATGGCAGTCTCTGGACCATGGCTCCTTCGTGTGTCGCTGCCAGTTCGTCTCCTGGCATGAAAAGTTACCAGAGAACAAAGATACCCTAAGAACTAAGCTATGTGGGTTTTATTGAATTGGTTTCTCTTTCCCTTAAAGTGTGTGTATGGGAGAGAGTGTGTGGCCAGGGAAGGACTGGGCGAGGCTGCTTTGTCCCCAGACGGCCCTGCGCCTACGTGAGGGCCTGAGACCTTGGCCCTGCCAAGCTGCCAGAAGCCCCCACTGCCCCTGCTTCCAGGCCTTGCTTGCCAGCATGGCACCCTGCTCCAAAGGCCACCCAAGTTCCTGAGACATTGTCCAATCCTACTCCCTGGGGTCAGGTGTCCAGACCCCTCCTGGGGGACAAGGCCTAGCTCATCACAGTGCCAGCACTTCCTTCCCCATGGCCATGGGGACCCCCTCAGAGCCAGGGCGCACCTCCCCTGCTCAGGACGCAGGTACGCGTCCTGCTCCCTCGGCACCATGCGCAGCCTCCTGGCCACCCCTAAAACGTGCCCAGTGTGACTTGTAAAACTCATGGGAGCCAGGCTTTTGCTTTTTTTAGTTTAAAGTGTCTGTCTGTGTTCCAAGTGAGGATTTTGTTCATCAGAAGCCTCTATGCTGCAAGGCAGGCGGGGGGCACTTCCCGGCTTCGGGGAGCTTCCGTCTTGCGCCCTCCCCTCATGCCTCCTGCTCCTAGGCTGCCCCTTCTGACGCTCTGCCCATCCATCCTGGGCCGCCTGGCCTGGACACTCCCGTGAGAGGGTGCAGGTGACAGGTGTTCTGGCTGTAGTTAAGGGGATCAGGGACTGGACCCTGGCCAGTGAGCCCCTGCCCAGTGCTGGCCCCCTAGTGCAGTGAGGGGTCTCCAGCCATAGGGATGGTCCCACCGGAGCCACCCACAGCCCCCTGTCATCAGAGGGAGCATCCAGGTCAGTGTGGCCCAGGAAGGGGCCTGGTCACACTAAGAGGTCAACTCATGACCCTATGGACAAAGCGCTCCATTCAGCCAGTGTTTGCCGAGCCACCTATCAGGTACAGGGGCTGGGGCTTGGCCCCCCACTCCCAGAGCTCACAGGGTCTCTGGCAAGTGCCAGGAGGCAGCTGCAGCCCTCACAGCCCCCCTTGGGCTTTCGGGGGCCACTGAGGAGCCCAGGCCCTGTCTGCCTGGAGACGTGGGGTCCTGCAGGAAGAAGGCCGCCTTAGCCCAGGGTC